ATATGTACTATGAATATAAAATTTAAAGTGCTTAATATATTTGATTATAGCAGATGTTTATTTTCTCCCTTCTTGCTTTATTTTTATGATTAGTACTTTGTGAATAACGTCTTACTAAAGGAATATTTTGAATGTATCTTAATCAGACTATAATACAGACAACAGAATTTATGTAATATTGTTAAAACAATTTTACAATTTGAAATATGATAACAAATGAATACAAATAATTTAAGTATGGCAACATCTTGTATCTATACATCATTTTAGAATTTATAAAATACCTACACTTATACAATTATCACAATTGTTGCTTAAAGAGTCTTGGGATATTGACATGTTATAGACAACTTTTATTTTACAGTAAGAGCAATGGTGAGATTAAAAAATAATTTCTTTCCTTTGATTATCTTTATATTATTTCAATGATAGGGACTATTCTCATAATGATGTAGACATATGACTGAAGTAGCAATAAGAAAGACATATGACACAGAGAAAGAATACAGACTTCCTAGTGAGAGACTTTTGCTTTGAATGGCATTGATTTGTGACCTGTGAAAATATGTAATATTTAAGGGCACAGCTTCAGTTTTCTCATTAATAAAAGGCTGATAATAAACGGGTCCCATGGATTTGCCATGTGGATTTAATAACAAAAAACTCCATTGAAGTGCTTAGCAATTAGTGTAAAAGCTCAATCAATGATAGTTTTCCTTTGCCATTTTGTTTATATTAAGCACAACCACATTTATATTAAACACTTCTCCCAACCTTCCCAATCCTATTTATATGATCCTCTTTGAAATATTGCATAGTTAAATAATTGAGGTCTTCAGTGCTCTCTTTGTTTGTATAGCTTTCTCTTCTGATTTTTTAAAGAAAGCTTTCAAGCTATTACGTCAAACTTAAACCCATGTTGTTTTAGAAATAAATACGGTGTATAATATTTAAAGAATAAATAGATTTTTTTTCCTTCCAACCTAATGGATACTTAACAATGGAGATATCTATTTTAAATACTTTAGAATGCTACCTCCTCAAGCCAGGGTTGAAAATGAAATTTTATATGGCTCTGGAGTGGCCCACAATCTTTAAATTATTCTTAGTGGCTTCCACATTAGAAGGGAATTGCATTTCCTTTGTTTTCCTATAATCGTAGAGATGAGTCAAAGGACAGGTAAGGGATCAGTTGGTAAGGATTTACTTAACTTCTTCACAAGTAGCAACTCCATATTGCTTTCGCTTTATTTCTAACACCTACTAAATGTGTTGAAAGCCTATTATCACTAGTTCAGAATTCATCTTAAGTATGCTTTCATGAATTTCATATTGTGTAGGCACTCAATCTTTGACAATTCAGAGGGAACTTTTTTTTTTTTTTTTTTTTTGAAAGGACAATAAAATGGAATAGCTGCCATGGGCATTACATAGCAAGTGAACAGGTTTCTAAGATCCAGTAGTGGTTAAGGTCAATATCTCAATTAACCTTTGTCTTCTAAACGATTCTTTCTATGTATCAAGTGAAGTGTCTTGGCAGCATAACATGAGAGAAGATTGTGCACTTAGTGCCCAGGATCTATTTTTCTTTGGATAAACAGAGTGCTTCACTCTCTTTCCTTTCTGCCAATCTTCCTTTCACAAGGACTAAATTACCTAAATGGAGAGTGGGTTGTTAAATGTCTGAACTTCAAGACTCTAAAAGTACTGGCAGTTTGCCGTATTGAAGATCTGACAACGACTGGCCTTGTTTTTACTTAAACACTCTTCTCCATTTAGATATTGACAATATAGAGAATGAGAATGTCCTGTAATTTCTTGCCACCTTTTATGTTAATTGGGAGAAATCAATATTTTTACAGAACTTGTTTTTCATTTTTTTTATCCTGACATATACTAAGTATTCGTTTGAATGATAATTTTCACAATTCTAGTTACTATTAAAAATAGTACAAACATGTTCAGAATACTATTTTATCCCTGCACTGTTGTTAAATCATGCTCTACATAGAGTAAATTGAAAATGCATAATAAAAACAGGAATCAGGGAATACCAAAAGCTTTGGTAGGGAGGACAAAGAAATAGGAATAAAATAGTACCATTGTCAGCCTGGGTAATATTATATCCATGTCTGGCTACCATATTTCCATTCAAAGGCAACCATTGAAGTATATGAACCTTGGTTATTGGATTTAAATATAATCTCCAATATTTATTAGCTTTGTGTCTTAGATTTGAAGAAGTTACAACCTATCATTTCTTGTATGTCTAAAATAAAGCCAAAATGAGTTAAATATGGAGAATGCCTGGGTAGCTAACTACAAAACACTCCATAAATTTTCTAACACTCTCATGGCCTAGCTTCTATCAGATATACTGCCCTTGACAGATACATTGAGGTCTAAGCCAGATCATTTGTCTATTTTCTTTTACAGTAATTCTTGAATGATTGTATCATGTCCCAAATCTGACTATAGCTAAAGGTATCAAAGAGCAGTGTTCTTTTTCTTCTCTTAATTCAGAAATATGTATCCAAAGAAATTTAAGTAGCACTAATAAAATCTTTGTAAATATGTTTCTATTGGGAAAAATACGATTTCAAGTGAGTGTTACTCAATTCCTAATTTTCTAGAAGCTTTCACTGTTGTTAAAGGGCAATCTTAAATTATATGAGACCAAAATGTTAGTCAAACAATAGAAGATAATGCAGGGAAAAAGAGAGAAATCCATAGTACAGAAAAATGCAGGAAATAGCAAAGCATTTTCAATTTGAAGTAGACAAGTCAGGAATAGAGCCTTCATCACTATGAATGAAGTATCTAGCTAAAATGATTTAAAAATGTATTTAGCTAAAACCCATATTATATTAATTGCGTATTTAGAAACAGCTGTGCAGTGACACAGACAGCACCACTAAGCTATCTCTAATAGAGATTTCAGCGGATGCTTTTCAAATATCATCACGACAGTAAATTCATTCTAAAAGGTTATAAAATATTGAAATATTAAACATATTGATTGTCCTCCTAAATTCACATACATGCATGTGCACGTGTGTGTGCATACACATAATCATTTGATGTTTTTAATAATTTTAGTTCAGTCCATGCATTATAAGTATTATATATGGGACAGAATGAATTGAGAATCTCTCCTGTTCATCTTCCTTTATGGTTTTGATTATGTCCTCCCAATTTATTTAGAATGTATTTTCTATTCCGTTTTTCTCTTAAGCACCCTGCTGTGTATTCACCGAATATCCTTCACAATACTATAGTTCCATCAAACAAATTGAGATTTAGATTTAAGCTCTACTTTTACCTAGCTTTCTCTCCATAATGGCTTAGAGGTACCACTTTATAAACACACTGAAAGATTGATGTGATAAATAATGAGAAATGAGGCATAAAATGTCTGGCACATATTAAGTACTCAAGAGTATAGTTTTTCTTTCTTTCCTTTCCACAACTCAAGTATCCTTTTCTTCCTTCTTACCACCTCCCCATTAGGAGCAAGAAAAGCAGCTTTAGTCTATTTGGTTTGGATTGAGAGACTTTTTCTAAATTTTTTATTGATTATAGTTCATTAAGTATCAATTATTGTTAATTACACATCATCATTTTTGCCCCCATATCAATCGGTTTTTAAAGATCCATTTTGTAATAAAGAAAAAAATTAAAAATTAATAAATAAAATAAAAGATTACTGAACGCTTTAGCAAAAATTCACAGATCAATTTTTAAATGGATATCCTTCTCACAAATATGCAGAAACAAAGTCATTTTAAAGAGATTCTTAATATATTTCTTGTGAAATTCCAGCTTGCTAACGGCCAAAAAGGCTCAATACACTGGGTCTTAAGTTCTGTCAGTTTCACTGAATTTAGGACACCACCTGCTAGGATGCACTAAACCAGCTTCCAAGTCTTACACAATAATCAAAATTTTTGCTAGTCTTGGTCAGAAAACTACTCATTTAATGAAATCTAAAATTATAAAGTCAGAATAAAAGTATAAATTCTCCATTTGTTCATAGGGAGTACAGGCTTTGTCCCTTAAGTTTTGCCTCAGGGATCTCTTTCCCCTAATGGAACCCAAATCTTGCTTTTAGCTTTTTGAATACAAGATTTTGGAAAACTCACATTCTCTTTTTGTAACCAAGTGAACTATTATTTGGATTAATGAAACTGTACATGTGAAAAAATTTGTATTGGTACCTTTTTAAAATTAATATTAATTTTAATGAACAGATCATCAAATCATAACTGTATATACTTTTTATAATGTGATGCATTTTGTACCTTAGAAGAGCACAATTTTCTGAAGTTTTATTCTGATTTTAAAAATAATTTTTTAGTGAACAATTCTGGAAATCAATTTTACATATAAACCCTTTTTATCAGCCAATTTATCAGTCTAACCCATTGTTTAATATGATTGCAAAGGCCTAGTGATTAATTTATAAATTTCATAATATTTTAAATTTTCTTTAAATATCCAATTCCCCAACATCTAAAATAAATGAAAACAATCAAATAATTGTGTTGACTCTATTTGTAATAACCAATTTAACCATTAACTTAAAATTATTAATATACCACTTATCCTGACATATACTAAGTATTCGTTTGAATGATAATTTTCACAATTCTAGTTACTATTAAAAATAGTACAAACATGTTCAGAATACTATTTTATCCCTGCACTGTTGTTAAATCATGCTCTACATAGAGTAAATTGAAAATGCATAATAAAAACAGGAATCAGGGAATACCAAAAGCTTTGGTAGGGAGGACAAAGAAATAGGAATAAAATAGTACCATTGTCAGCCTGGGTAATATTATATCCATGTCTGGCTACCATATTTCCATTCAAAGGCAACCATTGAAGTATATGAACCTTGGTTATTGGATTTAAATATAATCTCCAATATTTATTAGCTTT